ATATATTCTACTTACTTAAAGCTTGGCATAAGTGAATCTGGTTTATGGTCAAATTAAAAAGGAATTACAGTGACCATAATGTCGACATGCAAATATCTAATTACAAGTATTGATTGGAATGCAGTTAACTTCGGCATCCAACTCTTCAAGTCCCAAATTATACTATATATTTACATTTTTCAGTTATTATAATTTTTCCAGTTATTGTACTTCTGTTTTTACTATAAAAACACTTTCTCTAAAACATTATTTCCATATGCAATCTGAAATAATATGAATTTGGCGTGTCACATTTGGAGACAGGATGAAAGCACCTTCAAAATAAAATATAACTAATTACCAATGCTAGTGTATGTTTGCTTAAATTTGGTTCATTGTTGTTACATGTTATTTTTCCAAATCAACCAATGGTAATTGTTAAACTAACCAATAGTTCACGTAAAGGGTGAATAACTAGGCAATACACTACTATTGGTTGGATGGGTGAAAATACAATACACATGTGGCCACCTAGAACTGCAATTTGCAATTTTGCACAAACCTAGACAAAAACATAGATAGTGAGTTATATTGTGCTTCTATCAAGTGTCCAAGCCTTGTCTTGTATCAACTTTGGTAAACAATTTCAACATATTGTATTTATCAGTCATCTGGTGTTATGGAACAAATTTTAATTTAGGCAATGGTTTTGTGGATGACCTAGCATAGGCTTTTTGCATTTTCTGCAATGAGGCAATCTTTTCTGTTTGGCAGTAGTACTGATAGCACTAGAAGTTTGTGTCATATTCTCAGATCTTTCATTCTCTGCAATGATCAATTGATCTTGAACTTCTAATGAGGGGTTTTCACACTTTGGGTCGTTGCAAGTTGCTGAATCGCATTTTCTCAAGACAACCTGTTTGGAAACTGTGACGCTAGTGACTTTGTGGCTTTAGATTCTTCTTCCTGATAAATGTTTTCCAGATCTTTTAATAGACTCATGAACAACATCTCCTTTAGATTATCGCTGTATCCTGGGAAAAAAGTTGAAATCCTCTATTTTCCTAATCACTTTCCTGTACTAATTTAAGGGGGATGCAGTATGGATAAGGGGACGGGATGAGAAAATGATACACTTGGTATGATTGTGAAAATGTTGATAATCATGAACAAACCTCTTATGGAAAACATGACACATACTGTAAATTGGCTCAACCTTCACATCTCTAACTACAGCTTCACCATGCAGCCTTGAACTTTGGCCACCAAACATGTGTCCTGACTTCACCATTGTTCTTCTTTTTCACTTCCAGATGCACGTTTTCATTAAAATGAAGTGATGCAAGAATTTGCCTAGTTGTCAAAATCAACTGTAAAAGCTCAGTGTATACACTACACATTAACTGCTGTAAGTATTGCCCTATAACACTCACTAAGTAGATAATCTTTTGAATTTATAATGGTAATCAGCATGGGCATACATGTGGAAAAAATATGCCTGACGTGCATGGAAATTGTGTGAACAGTGATGCCCTGCCCTTGACAAAATTATGTGACAAAAACAGATTGCCATACAAGTTATGACATTTCAGCTCCTTTTGAACTTTTTTAAGCCAGCTAATATGCAGAATATTTTTAATGTTACAATAAACCAATATTTAAATAAAACAATGTTTGTATGTTGCATACGATCCCATTTTGCGCTGAGTGTGCACCGAAAGTTTGTCATCCTTGATCAAAACGACATCCCCAACGCCAATACACCATGTATTTCACCTTCTATCATCTGATATATATACATTTGCCTCCATTCATTCAGATATCTTTGTCTCTTCCGTAAAATAATCGGTTACTGTTCTTCATATTGTAATGATGCATTGAACACCGTCCTTGTCTTTAAATAAATGTAATGATGCTTCAAGCTTTGAGTAATTATCTTGTCGCTTTAACTGAATCTGTTCATCTTTAATGCACATAATTAGAGCTTCATTATATTCAATGACCGTTATCATATCCTCTGTGATCAAACTTGTTTCCTTTTTCACTCTCTTTCGTAAATTGACCAACGGTTTCCAAGATTTTTCCTTACTCCTAATCCAGCCTAGAGCAACCTCCGAATCAGACCAATAGAGTATCTCGACCAATGGAGTTGTGGACAATGGACATCTTAGGACCTCTTCCAATAACAGCACAAGGGCACCAGTATGTTTTGGTGATGAGTGATCACTTTACTAAATGGGTCGGAGCTCATGAAAGAACTATTCAAGCTCTTGGGTGTACACAAGTTGCCGACATCGCCATATCACCCACAGACTGATGGCCAAGTGGAGCGGTTCAACCATACATTGAAAGCAATAAGCTCGTCTTACGTAAATGGTCATCACAACAACTGGGATTTACATTTACCCTTGGCTATATTTGCATATCGAACAAGTGTCCATTCTTCAACACACGTATCTCCATTTAAAACAGTTTATGGGAGAGATTCTACTATGCCACTCGTGTTACTGGGCAGCACAGAGAAGCCCAAGACCCGATTGATCGCCAACTACTGTGCTGAACTTGAGTTTTATTACATTGGAATTTGATTATAATCTCAACAGTTCTTATACTAGCCAGATTGGAATGTAAATCTAATCTCAACAGTAGATTGGAATGTAAATCTAATCTCAACAGTTCTTATACTAGCCAGATTGGAATTTATTTCTAATCTCAGTAGGTAGTAGTAATATCAAGCAACACACCTGGGGGAAAATCCCCACAAGGTTTCTGATTTTTATTGTGCATCTGTTTCAGTAATATACTGTATTGACTAATATATATGCAATAATACATTAGGAAATATATTTTCAAATCATCTTACTCATACAGTAATAATTGTATAGGTGAGTTCATCACTTTGATAGTGAGTTCATCACTTACAATATATTTTTGTGATGTATTTCGCTATTTAACTAGAAACAAGCCTGCAGTTTCATGAATTAGTGGCTGTCAACCGTGAAACAATGTGTGAAAGGCATGCATAAACTGATAATTATAAACACGAATTTTGTCGAAGACGAACCAGATGTTTTCAATATAAAATTTAATCATGGTCTTGACTCTTGGCTATCTTGGGTATAAGATTTCAGTATTAAAATTTCATACCATACTTGCTTTGTGTTTTTTATTTCATTCATATCGGCGAAATTTTTATGCCATTCAAATCAATAAATAATATATTTTTACGCAAGCTGGTATTTACATGAAAATGTGTAAATGTACTACGTGATTTTAAATATTGTTTATTTGGGGCAATTCATACAGCATATCGTGTTTTTATGCATGTTTATAATTGTCTTTTACCTACAGCAAATATGGCTTCACCAAAATATAACTCGAAAACTAGCTTTTGCTTATATAAAGCTAATATATTTGCCGTATTTTCGAGCAAACTATTGACTATACTGTCGACAAAACAAGTGTTTCGGTTTCCCCTGCAGTTCCACGGCAGTTTCGAAATGCTTTACCATTACATTTTACATTAACTTTTAGCCGATTGAAAGCCACATAACATAAAACTACATTTCTTTTTACGGATTATGAAAATCAATGATTTTTTGGTAAAGAATTATCTCCTATTATTTTCTCATATTATTTTCATTTTACCATAGCAACTATTATTATGTTGAGTATGGAGTACTTCATGTTGAATGGAATTTCTATACTTCATCTGTTAAAAAAGGCGAGGGGTTGCTGCAAGAATGTATTTCTAGTTAGTGTATGGATTCAAAGCTGACAGAAGACAGATTATGGATGGTCTCTGTGAAGAAACAGTAGATGATGACAGTTGTCCAAGTTCAAACAGTATATGGTGTCTCCAGTGGTTTCTCCAATGGCCTCGATTATCATACCAAAAGAGTATATATCACTTGCAGGAGTTGAAGGATTACCATTCAATACTTCAGCAGCAATATAGTCATAAGATTTGGCATACTTCATTGTCAGTGGGTTTAAAATTGGTTTTACCTTTCCAAAATCAATCTAGTACCCAAAACAAGAACATTGTTTGTCGTGATGTCACAATGGAGATATCCCTTTTGATAGAGGTGGTTTAATACATCAGCAATGTCATAACATATACGGAACCAGTCTGATACAGACATGCTCCCCAAAACATTCATAGACTTTTTGTCATGTAGTAGCTTGTGAACTGTCAACGACTTTAAATCTTTTCCAACAAACTCCATGATTAGCGAGGAAGGCTTCCTTGTGGTGATTCCAAAAAGATAAGGCACACATCTATGTGCAAACATTTAATGGTAATATGCCTCCTGATACACCGAGCTATCACTCGAATCTGCCAGTACCTTCTCCACAACATGAACACCAAATCTTGGGTAGTACGATGTATGACACTACCCAAAGCTTCCAGAACCAATACATGATGAAGCATCTTCCACTTCATCAAATTCAATTGTTGGAAGGCACTTCTGCTTTTGCATTCCTGTTGAAACCTATTAAATAATAATTAATGTAAATTAATGGACTTGATAATAAATATTTTGTGTCATTAAGATAATTGAAAGCCTATGCAAGATTTTAATAATTAAACTTAACCTTGACTTAAATTTAACCTTGTTTATGGACTAGTCAATTTACTTCTCCTGCCCTTGGGGTTTTGACCCAGTATATACTATCAAAAACCCCACTATGTCCTAAGATGGAGGTAGGGTTCAATTCATTACAAGAGTGACCATCAACCAAGGGGTCTTAAAGGGAGGGATAAGTCATTTCTGCGCATGCGCGAGGTTTGTTTTTGTTTTGATCCACATAATAGAATTACATGAAGTATAACATAAGGTCATTATATATTCTGTGAAGTATTTCCAACATTTGCATAAAGGAGCGGTGTTTATTTTCGATCATGGCTGACGCATTAGACTCAAACTTTAAGATACCAAACGTCGACAATTTCACATCCCAATTTTGCATACTGCTGTCTGAGAGAAAAAGGAAGAAACTTTTGCCCGTGTAAAAGCATGAACAAATATTGTTTGAGCGCATGTCAATGCCACGAGGAATATTTTGGTGGATGTTTGAACAGCCGGAATTTACTTGAAAGCGATAGCGATGAATCAGATGGTGGAACGGTAAGCTTATAATTTGCTTTGTGCTGTTTATGATATTGTGCTTTGTGCTGTTTACCTCTATATACTGTATAAAATAAATACGAAATGCGATATGCAATTTGCTCATTGCCGAATCAGTCCGAGTCAAGTGTCGATTGTGTTTTATAGCATTACAATTTTAATTGCTTCGATAATAGAATGCATATCAGAATTATAGAAATAGTGAAATAAGCCTGTTGTTCTGAGACACACGTCAAAAAACACAACGGCGACAACGCTAGCAAGTAAATATGCTAGCAAGTCCACAAATGTATTAAATACAGTATATTCATTTATATAAAGTATAGTGCTTTATTGAGATTTCGAGATTATTTACGATCATTTCACATGTGAAAATTATCGCTTTTCAATATCGCTTTTATACAATAAACAGAAAAATACATGGATGCTTGGAAATGCCAAATTTATTTCTCGTGTTGAACATGATATCTCACTCGTTCGCAGCGCTCACTCTTGAGATAATAATCATGTTCAACACTCGAAATAAATCTGGTATTTCCGCACACTACAATATGTATTATTGTCTATATAATTTTTATAGCCCATTAATGGTAATAGGGTAAATGTTTGCATTCCTGACATACAGGATCCTCTAAATTTTATGTCTAGTAAGTTTTTAGTATTAATTATTACATCACTATTTTTTCTATTTATACATAGTACTCAGACTTCTCTTTACAAGGAGAAAGAGAGGACCCTTCTGATGAGGAAGGTGACATAACGGGAGAGGCGATCGCCACAGACAAAGACGCAGGGGACACAGCAGGGAGTGAGGCAGGAGGTAACGTGGCAGGAGACAAGCAAGGGAGCCGAGCTGGAGGAAGAGGCCGTAGGGGTGGCAGAGGAGGGGACGTGGCAGAGGACGTGGTAGGGGAAGTGGCCAAACGAAGAAAAGGGGACGAGGCAGGGGTCAAGCTGGAGGTAGTAGTTCCAGACAAAGTACAAGAGGACAGGACCAACTTCAATCTGAACCAAATGCTCAAGAAAATCAGGCCAATCATCAAGAACAATTAGTGGTAAGATACCATAAACCTCTGAAAATAAGCCCCTAACATCTCACAAAAATACTCACAAAAATGCTACATACTGTACAGTATAACAACCCATGGATACTATTTGTCACTCTTACAGATTATTGGATAATATCCAGTGAGATATTACCACATATGCCCTATTGTTCACACAAGGGCACAATACACTGAAAACATACATGCATGGGCAAAATAGCCTTGTTTACAATTAGGTTTAAATGCCAACTTCACTTATGGAGTATGTTCATGTAAAGTATTTGCTCTTACAGTGCTATTTATTTATACATGCACAAGTCTTCATCAGTGTTTGGTCTAGTAATAGGACACCCCAAGTGCAATATTATATGTTACCTCACACAATTATCCTATGTTGTAGAATCTTGTTGATGGTTTAAGCGTGGAGCAATTGAGAACATTGGCTTTAGAGCTGCTACGAAGACAGCCGGCTGCCTTTGCTGACATTGTGAGTGGAGAGATTCCTGCTGGGGATGGATTAGAGCCACCAAACCCCCCTCCTGATGATGAAAATGTGCCAGAGTGGTGTAAGTGTGGGCATTGTGTTGCAATGCCAACACAAGAAGAAAATAAGTGCTGCACAAGATCCAGGCGAGAATGCATCACAACAAAAACACTGTTTCCACAGATTGTTTTGGACGCCAATATATTGGACATTGCTATGCGGTATAGGGAAGATATGCTGGTTCTCGAGAACACTCGGAACAATGAAAATTTCCGTCATGCTGCATACAGGCAGTTTGTCCTTTGGCAACATGGGCATTTAGGCAAAGGAAACAGAAGGGTTGTACCTAGCTGTTGTGTAAAAGCCATCCAGGCTTGTTACCCCTCTCCTAATGGAGTTTATACTGGGTATAGACCTGCCAGGTTGTGAAAATGTTTTGTTGTTCCAGTTATATTTAAGGTTATTTTTAAAACTTGAAGATAGTTCTGAATAAATTCCATTTGGTAATTACAGTAGCTGTTATCGTAATTGAATATGTCTATGCTATGGACCAGCAGTATCTGAATTATTTTTAACATTGAGACAAGGGCTATATGGTCATGTTTTGTGACCCTTTAGCCTCGTTTTCGTGCATACTTCCACTGAGATACCGCTGGTTCACTGCAGCGGCGTATTCAGTTACGATCACAGCTATTGGCCCAATATCATTCCCCGAGCATGCCTGTTCTCAGGTTAAGGGTGGCCTTAACCTGCAAACGGGCATGCTCGGGGAACAAGATTGGCCCATGTCAAACTACAATAACATAGCTCAAACAGTGACTGTGTGCTTCAAATATTTTATATTAATTGTGTTGTTTCTACACATATATACAGAAAAATATAACCTCCTGGCAGAGGAGGTATTAAAATTGCGATTTGTGAGCCTCTAAAAGTGATTCTACTGAGGGAGGAGGGATGGCAGAGATGTTCAGGGCGATTCTTCTTGGATCCTCTTCCAGCACAGCAATTTTCCTGTTGACACCGCCTTTAGTACTGGCCCTCTTTCCAAATATCTTTTCCAGCAGATTTGGAATGTACTTGTATGTCTTGGGTTCGAGCACTTTGACGGCAGACCACTGCTTAGTTCTTTTGCTGAACTTGCGTTCCATCCTAAACAATAATTTTCTTTTAAAACTCACTGCTTGTCACATACTGCTTATTTGTATACCTGTAAACAGTGACGTAACAGAGGAAGAGGGGGTCCTTAGGCATATTTAGTGTGGTGGCCTCTGTTCAGATCAATAGTAGAGAATAATAGAGTTTGATCAGATGAATAGTATACTGAAAATGAATATAACCCAATTAATACTAGTAAAATGGTACTTTTAGTTTTTTCTGGCATTGCACTTAATAAACCCTTTTGTTTTAGTTTGTTCCAGATTATTTGTACCTACAGGATTGCATTTTTAATACAGAGTGTAATAATACCAAATACAATAATACCTTGGACGACCATCTGCTGTGGTTGCAACTTCTCGCCCCCTGTGGTGGCCCTTACCAAACTGACATATATGTAAAATGTCTGCAAGTATCTGTCATATATCTGTTGCAGTACTGCAGCATATCTGCAACAAGATCTACAATATCTGCAAAATATCTGCAACTTTTATGCAGATATTTTGCAGATATGTTGATTATCTGTCAACATATCTGCAAAATATCTGCATAAAAGTTGCAGATATTTTGCAGATATGTTGATTATCTGTCAACATATCTGCAAAATATCTGCATAAAAGTTGCAGATATTTGCAGATATGTCAATTGTCTGTCAAAATATCTGCAAAATATCTGCATAAAAATTGCAGATATATGTAGATATGCCAATTGTCTGTCAATATACAGTATCTCAACTACACAGTAAAAAATAATTTCTTATTGAGAAAACAATTCTTACTGCAAGAAAATATTTGTTGAAGAACATTTTTTGAAATAAGAAAAATTCTCTTAATTTAACATATCTTAAATTACATTTGTTTTCTTGAAATATGAATGTTTTCTTACGATTTTGTCATCTTCATATCAAATCATTTTCTTAACAAAATTTTTAAAACAAGAAATCAAATTCTTAACATAAGAAATAATGGTTAATAATAAATTATTTCTTACTTATTTTCTCGAAGAACGAAAATAAATTTGTTAAAATTTAAATATAACATCTTTTGCAATTTTTGCATTTTTTTTCCAAAATGATATATTTTTCCTCAATATTCTTTTAAAAAAAAAGATGTGAAATGTCATCCTGGATTTAGATTCTATATGGGTTAGTATATTCACTTTAACTGTAATTAGCCTTTTCTCAAAAGAGATCACAGTGCATATTCTGGGGGTGATTTGGAGGGACAAAATATATGGAGACAGGCATCAAATATGTGAAAGAGTAGAAGTATCTACTATCAAATATCAACTTTTTACATGACCAAAAATGAAATATCTCCTTTTTACATTAAATTTTAATTTAAACGTGTGCTGCCATATTACTTGTCCCTTCAACAAAGAATTTGTGCGACTAGACCCAGGACTTTGGGAATAGCTAATTAAATATACAAATTCTCTTCTATCATATTTATCTTTGTTAATTAATTTGTTATTAAAGTAAATTTGGGACAAAAATATTGTGTTTTATTTTGTAGTAAAATGCTACATTTGCCCCTTTAGGAAAGGAGACCTTGCCCCACCCCCTTTCCATCATCCCTGATACCATATAACTACATTCTAATTTAATTTCTAAAGTTGAGTTCTTTCCATGTTTTATTGAATCATTGTAGAGAATTTTCATTTTCTGAGAATTTATTAACAATAAATTAATTAACAGTCAGTAACTGATTGAAAACATTTGTAAATATTCCTTATATTCGTAGAGAAACTATATTTAATCACAGTTAATATTAACTGTGATTTAATACATGACAACTGAAGCAATAGTTCGCGCATTGCCTGGAGGCCTGGTGCCTAGTTTAAGTGTCGGAGCGCAAAGTGTCATGGGATAGCGTCGTTTCGAATTTTTGTGCTAAAAATTTGAAAGCACATTTACATGTCTTACATGGTGAACAAATTTATCGAAATTTCAAACCCAAACGATGGAAAAGGCATGGAAAAGTTCGTAAAATGTTATTCAGATCTCACAGGTAAGAATAGTTATATTTTGACTTGTTATTTAAGCACTTTAATTGCGAAAGAATGTAGTGAAAATATGATTGTTACTTGAGCCATGTGTCTGAAATTCTGCTAAATATAATTTTGAATTTGCCACGTTCAATTTACATAAAAAACATACAAACTGTTGGTTTCTGGCAAGGAAAGAAAGAATAAAATATCAATTCGAATCTATTATAGTAAATTCTGTACTAAATTGTGCACTAATAATATCAACAATTTAGCAATAATTGTCTTTGGCACATAATAATTTGGCACATAATAATTTGGCACATAATAATTTGGCATATAATAATTTGGCACTTTTGTAGACCTTTGTCAAGGGTGTATAACTTAATAATAAAACGATATGAAATAATATATTAAACATACTTGTGCTTTTAACAATATGAAATAATATATTAAACATTTGAATGCTGTTAAAAATATGTTAGCATTTTAATACATGAATAAGGATTGTAATTGCAGAAGAATTACAACATTGAATGTGATGTATCAGTGTATTGATCCTTAACCCATTAAGCTGCAACTGTGTTGCTTAAGACAATTTTACTCGTCAAGGGGAGAGTCTTGCAAGCTCTTTATTAATGAGCTTCAGTTGTATAAAATGATTTTTGTTTGTAAAAGCTGGAAGATGTATGAGCACTGAGACAATGCCTCAAATGTTCTCTTTATATATTTTCAGATTAATATTGGAACTGGATTATAGCCCGGTGTGCTCCAAATATTGTTCTTAAGTCTCAACAATCAGATCTGGATTGAGTTGACAAACTGGTGTTGTAAGGTAAGAATTAACAAGAATAAATAGTCGGCTTTTAGTGCTTTCTATGAAAAAAATCACAAACTGGCCCGGCTAAGGTGGCCACCTAGGCCAGACAAATCAGTCTCAATCTTTTAAACAGCCCCTACAAAAATTTAGTAACTAGTAACAACATAATTGCACATGAATCCTAAGTTTACCTCCAAATGCAGCCATTTTAAGGCCTGTTAACACTGACACTGTGCTCAATTTTGGTACCCGTAACATGTTTACCATGCTTGGACTACCTATTCATACTGGCCGAGTACAGATTAATTCGGTACAGGTACCAGTTTTATCTGTGCTGTACTAAAAATTGAGCATAGTGTGTAGGGCTTTAGTAGTTTAGTGCTTTAATAATCCAGAATGTGTATTTATGCCAGAAGTATAAAGGGTCAGTGTGCAATTGTCAATTTTCTGTCATAAATGAGTCATTACAGTATGGTACATGTAGAGCTGTCCATAGGCCTGCAATAATGCAGGGGGAGGGCTGTGGCTGGACCCAAAAAATTTAGCCAGAGTAGGTAGGGTTTTCTTTTTGTCTTGTAAATTTTTTATTATATAAATGTTCATGCATGAGAATGATATTCTACATCAATTACAGCAGCACAGATGACACAAACATTCATTAAATATTACATCAACTTTGATTTTGAAACAAACAGGTTATACTTTCTTTGTAGGTTTCCATGGCGATAAAACATATAATACTTTTGTTTGTGGAAACACAACTACATGGTGTTTCCACAAACAAAAGTATTATATGGCTAGTACAAAACTAACGCCACAAACTGGGTATGAAAAATTGTTCCGAACTCTTTGCAAACTTCAGATAAAAAGATTAGGGTCAGTGATTTCTTTGACCTATACTTTACAAAAATAGTATTAAATCAAATGTAACCTAGTAGATGGTTAATTATAAGCAATATATACCTTGTAACCCATTAGACATGGCTACCCCAAGGGCATCCCCTATTTGGCCTAACACTATCTAGATTATTCTTCCTGTCAATGCCAATTAAATCTAAAACATATTAAATAAATCTGATTTTATCAATTCCTATTTTTTCAGCTTTTGTTCTGGATGATACAGTCTATGGAAAGACAGCTGCTATGCAGTACACGGTACAGGACAAATGCTGTGGGGCTTGAACTAAAAGCAAACCAGCTGAGTGAGACTTGACATTAACAATTAATGACTTTTAGGTACTCATTATTTATTGCTGGCCATGTATATAAATATAATATTAGGAAATTTTAAATAAGTGTAGGTTATAGTAAGTGTAATTACTCTGCCCCAGGGCCCGGTTGTTCAATACTGGACTAGCGCTAACCCTGGGTTAAAATTTAGCCTGCTGTTTTAGTTTGTGTATTTCTACACGCCTGTTTATTTCAAAACTTCAAAGAAGAAAACTCCTATTGATCCAGACAAGATCTCTGAAGAAATATTTCCAAATATATAGACAAGCTATCAGGAAGTTTGCTTTGAAGTTTAGGTTAACCTAGGGTTAAGCTAATCCACCCTTGAACAACTGGCCCCTGGAGAAAAATTGATTGTACAGTCTTAAATTTATCTATATGTGTAACCTATCATAATTATATATTTACTAATAAATACATTTACTATTCTGATCTAATATTTCTTCGTATTAAATTATTTATGGCTTCAAGTGAACATGACAGAGGTACAGTTGCAGCAACGTGATGTTGCAGAAGTAAGAGGAAATAGTTTTATGCAAGAGATAAATCTCACTTGGTGGCAGTTATGTGACATACCTGTTTGGTAGATAATATACAGATACTTTTATCTGCAGGGAAACTATACTGTCACATAACTGTGACAGATATGTTATTGGGCCAAATTCCTATATGTTGCAGATATGTGACAGATATCTGTCATATAACTGTGACAGATATCTGCCACATAACTGTGACAGATATCTGTCACATAACTGTGACAGATATCTGTCACATAACTGTGACAGATATGTTATGGGGCCAAATTCCTATATGTTGCAGATATGTGGCAGATACTTTCGAACATATATTTTGCAGATATTTTACAGAACTGTGACATATATCTGTCACATATCTGTCAGTTTGGTAAGGGATACCTTTGAATTTGTTTGCCTCAAAACACAATGTCCAAAATTTTACATTGAGGTAAATTGTAATAACTGTGGATTGTATTAATTTGTATTTGTTTAGGCAACCATGCTTTTGCAGTGCTTTGTGGGAAGGAGTGCTATGATAGTATGGCTATCTTTTCAAGAACTCTTTGAAGAAATCAACACCATCATCAAAGAGGGAGAAATGAAAATTGATGGGGAAAACATCAAGTTAGAGTTTTTTTCTTGGAGGAGATTACAAGGTAGGCTAATTGATTCAATTTGTATAAAAGATACAAGCAAATGAACAGGATTTCACTTCCTGTTCATTTGCTTATATCTTTTATACAAATTGAATCCACAACACCAGCACCCTCTCACCTTGTACATGTAATCAGGGGTGTAGGAAACATCAAAAGATTTGTTTCTTTGAGGGGCACTTTTGGAATGAAAAGGGCACCTGAAATTTTTCCAGAAATGTTGGCGGGGGGACTGCAATCATACAAAATACAATCTGAACAATATTTTTCACAAAGGCAAAGGGCACTTTGCCACTGGTGAAAGGGCACTTTGTGTTTTCTGAAAACTTGGGGACCTTGCCCCCTGGTTATTACGCCCTTGCATGTAATTAATCTGAAGGCAAAACCAATGTACAAAATATGATTGTTGCTTGTTTTAGTTTTTGCTAGCAATGTTGGGAATGAATACTGCCAACTCTATATATGCTTGTATATATTACATGATACACAAAGATGAAAGGTGAGACCTAAATGCACAAAAACTGTATTACAGCATAAAAATGTTAAATTTATTTTTATTTAATACAGCCATTAATGCTATGATTTTATATAATTCTAGATGGGATATGAGCAAACCTGAGGACTACTACTGGGCAGATGAGATGAAGCGAACGCTACAGGACGTTAGGACATGCTGTAAAAAGAAAAAGAAAAAGGATAACTTTGACTGTATTTTCTTTGACTGTATTGTAACTCTTTTGAATATTCGAATTGAAAATGTTAGAGTAGATGAACTCCACCTTTTGCTCAGAGTTACAGGTAGGTACACCTAAGGAAGGGATTGGTTTAACCAAGGTGTATAAAACCAAATTTTCTCAGGGGGTAGTACTTTTGGCAGGGGGGGGGGGTAGACCCAAGCTCCCACTTCTGGCTATACCTCTGTCTGTAACACAACTAAGCATGTTTCTTATCTGTTTATTCTATGCAGATGGTTTGAGAAAAACATGATAACCAATACTGTCCAATGGGATACAAGGGACGACAAGAACAAGAATTCAAGTGATCCCAAATGGCTCCACCTAAAGGCTCTTGTTAAAGCTATCAATGAATGTGGGATTTCATTCACGTTTTGGCAAAAGTTAGATGGGACAGGGAAGAAAACGAGCGCATATGATTCGCGAAGCTTGGTGGGTGAAGAGAAGAAGAAACTTTTGCAACGTTTGCCAGAGAAATTCGACAAAGTTTATTCCGCACGTAAACACGGCTTTTGAAGAATACAATTTCTGCCAAGCGAAGCAAAACCAAAGCGAACCCTAGATGCCTTTCATACATGTTTATGTCAGCTATCGCAAAATTGCTTGTTACAGATGCCGATAAAGAGATAAAGAACCAAATAATCATTGGCTGCTCATCGCAGAAACTTCGAAGAAAGCTCTACGTGAAGACCCGACCTTAAAAACCTTTTAGAGGTGGGGAGAGCCGAAGAAACGAGTCAAATACACAAGTCAAATACAAGCACAATTCGTGGAGAAACAAGAGTAGAGTCAAAATATTAAACGCCAGTAAGACGGGCGCTCTCGAGAAACATAACCCCTCGCCTTGCGACATGAGAAAACCACAAAATCAATGTCAAGGCTCAAATTATCAAAGAAATTTCAACAAACCCCACACATCAACTTGCCGCAACTGTGGTATCTACCCCCATGCCCGAGATTGTCCAGCGAAAGGAAAAGAATGTCATTCCTGTAAAAAAACGGGCCATAAACACAAATCTCACAAACACCGGAACCGAGTGAACAACCTTTCTGAACAACCGAGCACTAGCCCTCATATCGACCCTGATTACATTTTCACTTTGAAAAACAATTCGAACAGCAA